GCACCGAATTGCACGGATAAGCCTGCAGATTGTTTGTTTAACACGGTACCAGAACTCTGGATTTTTTTCCAGTTTCCAAATGAATTTTAAATTTTTTTTAAAATTCACTTTAAAATTTGGAAAGCATGAAAGAAACCTGGTTCTGTGTCGAAACGACCTTTATGCTTATTTGCACTTCTTGAAAACTTTAAAGGAGAACGGTCCATAATAAGACCTTTCCACCGGTTTGCATGTTTGCATGTAAGCTAAGAAAATTATTGTTTTACCCATATTTTTCCAGCCGGATGTTGCGCGCACAAACGGTTGTCAAATGATTTTACGTGATACCGGTAATACCTATACGAGGCGTGTGTCCCTTACTTAGATAGAGCACATTTACCTTACCATACTTAGATAACTGTGCCCGCGTTGTTCACTCAATGTGCAGCGCTGTCAACCACCCAGAGATGGCAACGCTAGAGACGAATTTGAAAAATGTGTTGATTCAGCCGTTGATAACTTCAGGTGCTCACATCTCGTGAATGTGGGAACAGAACTGTTGTAATACCTCAAAGATGCAGAAAAAATTCACAAGTTTTTGATGCCAAGTAATATACATAAGTTTAGTGCAGCTGAAACAAGTTGTAGTTTCTCGTATTAGACACGCTATAGGATCTCTTCGTGGACCCTTCAGCATGTACTATGCTAAGTCTGAAACAGAAATGAAATAATTTATTTCAGTCGCTCTAAATCTGACTTACTGGTATCAAAATCTTCAATGGATTTTCTACATCTTTGAGATATTCTTGAACAGTTTTCCCACATTCACGAATGAATATTTAACTAGTTATCAACTAATTTCAACAGATTTTTCAAATTCTCCCTAACGTTGCCATCTTTGGGTGGTTGACAGCGCTGCACAACACGGGCACAGTTATCTTAGTATGGTAAGGTAAAAGTGCTCTATCTAAGCAAGGGACACACGCCTCGTACAAATCATTCGCTACAGAATGCAATAAAACCATGTAAAAAAGTGTTCACCGCGTTATTGCTGTAAAAAAGTATAGAAGTGCGCAAAAGTATATTTAGAAGTGTAGAAGAAGTGTAGAAGAAGTGTGTAGTGTAGTAGAAGTGTGTAGTGTAGTAGGAAGTGTGTAGAAGTGTGTAGTGTAGTAGGAAGCGTGTAGTGTAGTAGAAGTGTAGAAGTATATTTAGTTTGCCATTGTAATGCTTGCATTTAAGTAGATTAGGTATATGGAAGCCCTGTCGCCTTTAAAAATGTTGAACTTTTTCCTAGTCATAACAATATTATAGCAAGTTAAACTATGTAAATAATAATCGTCAGTAAATTAAACTTGATCAAGCCGCTTGAACAAAATAATAAAATGGGAAAGCATAAGTTATACCTCGAAAACCAACCAGTAAACCATACTTTTGATAGTTTCGCAACGGGTCGGTTTTCATGCAAACCAAGTTGTATCTACGATGAGGATCATATACAAGCCCGTCCGGAGTTAGAGCACGATAGAGAACAGCTAACGCATAATAAGCGCGAGGTTAGCGCTCAGCACGATGGCCACTACACTACTTCTACCACAATGCGTAAATGCGCTCCGCAGTTAGATTGTCCCTTACTGCACCGACTGTTTTCTAGCCACCTTCCGCCCGGCAATTACGAGTATACTCATTAAAATATATGGCGTGCACCAAGCCACCAGCCAGTCAAAAGCATGTTACGTGTTCAAAAAGTGTGGGGTGCCGTGGCGTAGTATGTTGTTTGGCGTAACCCATGAATTTACGTTGTTCGCCGTTCTCTATCGTGCTCTAACTCCGGACGGGCTTGTACGGTAAGTTGGTACTAAAATTATTCATTAATATTTTATTGGTACTGATTAAATCCTAAAATTATTATAATGTATGCACTATTTTGCGTATGTATAAGCTTGTCGAGGAATTAAGGGCGTAAAGGCCAAGATACTCAGTGCACACTGCACACTGAGCACAGTCATTACCCGTGTACTATATTACTGTGCACAGTAATATTTCAGCAGGGCCAGTAGCCAGAGCATAGTCATATTTCAAATGTTGTATATTGCTAGCGCATTGTGTAACTTTTGTTAAAGAAAACGGTAACTTCCGATTACATGTCGCCAAATTTGGGTACATGCATGAAAACTTTGGCTTTCGCGCACTCTCAGGTTTGTGCATGTATTCGAATTTGGTACCATGTATCGTCGCTTCCCTTAAAACCTTTTCACACTGTTACGAATGGACAATACATCTTCTGCTGTGACCTTTAAGTCGGTTACGTTATTCGGTAACTCTTGCCGAAGTTTGATGAGTACCTTTTCAATACAGGACCAAGATTTAAAAGAATTGTTTTAAAAATTAAGTAATTTATTTAATTTTTCAAAACTTTTAGCAACTCTTGCAGTAAGACCCTGCGTGGGCGTGGGCCTGTGCACACCAGTTGACCTTAAAGATAAATTTTTAAATATTTACCACTAGTATGGCAGTCGCAGCACGTGTTGCCCTTGCTTTAGGGAAAAGTAATCTGAATCAGTTTTTATCATCGTTAAAATTTCTGGCATACCATGCCGTAAGATTTTTCGATGGCTTCATTCGAGACTTGCTCATTTAATATGATGTGTAAAACGTGTTATTACGATATCGCTTGTCTATAGTCCGTACAAAAATAATATTTGCTCACTTAAATTGTGAAGATTTCTGGCTCTGAATCCGAAGCAAATATAATTATGATACAAACGATTTCACGATAAAATGAAACACGAAACAGTATCAAGCGTAACAGGACTGACATGAGTAGCATGGCAATCACTACACTACAAGCGTATCATAACATATAACAAGTACATAATAGCATATTATAACAAGCGTAACATAACATACTGTACATAAAACCTTTTTGCCCCAACGGCTCGTCATAAGCATGCATGGGAAGAATCGATGATGAGTTGATACCCTCAACAAACCGCATGGAAAAGAAGGCCTTCTGTGATTCAGCGCTGTCAGTATCGATCGCTTGTTACGCATACAGCAGCTATTACTAGGCCCTAAGGGTAGAATACGAGTCGTGCCAACATGCAGCTGCACGGAAAGCAACCCTGTACATAAACGTCGGCGTATTAGAGCACATAATTATGGACGAACTGTGGATGAGCACATGTTCTCGCTAAGCATAGGAATAACAACACAAGTATAGCACTACTGTGTTGTAAACGTGTACAACATACTTCTTCCTTTCAGTGCGATCGCTTCTCTCGTTTGTATGATGTTTAAGCACTTCTGATCATCAGATACGTATAATTATTTTGTTTTCTGCTTCTCACAAGAAAACCAAGCAGTGCTGCTGCTTTTGCCTTCGTTTAACAGTGCTAAACCAAATATTATTAAATCATTTGCCAGTCTGCTCTGCCAGACATCGCTAATTGTAATGTGGAAGTTGCTGGAATGCTTTGGAGGATGTATAGGACGAAACAGTTCAGCCAAACCCGTAGAAGACAAGATTACTCATGGGAAACTTTTATCACACTTTGCGACCGGGTATAGTGTCAGTACAGAGAGTAAACTGGCCGTGGAAGCTTTCAAAGCGGCTTTAGAAACTTGTTGTTTTCCCACCAGAAACCTTGTTATCAGTCCCTACTCCGCGGAACTTGTCCTCACAGCGCTCTTGCCCGGAACCGATGGGGAACTGCATGCATCGCTGTCGAAGTTGTTGTGTGCTGACGAAAGGTCTTTTGCCGACTAAACACAGAGCTTAGATGCCGTGAACACGGATGGTGCTCTGAATAGCACCAGTGCTGTGTTCTATGATGACAACTGTCGCTTAGACGCTCAGTATCGGGAAACCGTGGAGACGTCCATACAATGCCGGTTTATTCCGACGCCATTCCAAAATGCTCCTGATAGAGCGGTGGAGGTGGTCAATCAGTTCGTTGCGGAGAAGACCGACGGGAAAGTTACGGCATTCCTTACTCAAGGCCGGCCTAATGCAGCGCTAATCCTGATCAACATCATAGATTTTGCCGGTCAATGGGCAGCGCCATTTAATCCGAGACATACTAAGCAGGGCATCTTTCATTGCCCCGGCGGTGTGGAAAAGACTGTTAATTTTATGAAAGAAGAGTATGCCTGCATCCGGCACTACAATGTTTTGCATTACGCCAGGGCCGTTGTCGAGGCCGGTGATCCAAAAATAATCGTCATGGAAGTAAAGGGAAGGAAATTTAGTGTTATGGTTTTGTTACCTGCGGAGAATTCGGATGATGGAATGCGGACGTTAATAGATATGTTAACAATTCAGCGACTGTTATCCTGGCTACAGAAAAAGTTTACCCGATGGTACGCCCTACATCCTCCTACCCAAGTTTCGCATCCGCTGTAGTACGGACATGAGCAGCAGGAGGGTCGGGTCCCTCATAGAGTTTGCCCAATACAGGTGGGGCAGCCGCAATACAAGTGGCGGCTGTCTCTACCAGAACCCCCACCGTATGTTGGCACTAAAATGCGAAGCGGCAGTTACGTTAATTGTGTACTGTGTATTGCTATAGGTAGGGCAGTCACTAATAGAGATTGTGTGTCGCAGTACTCACCACCTGCGATAGCGCGGTTACCAATAATCGAACTGCCTGTCAATCATTCTGTCCGGCAAATTGCAAGGCAAACTTTTCCCATGCAATACTACGGGATTTCTATTGTGTTCACGCTCAGACAATTTTGCATGGCAAATTTGCAGCTATAAAGCGTACTGCACACTGCAGTCCGGTAATTGCCTGCACTTGTAATACCTGTAATTTGTTTGCATTTTATTTCGATACTTTACTGTAGTATCCTTTTCACTACTCTGGTTTTTTCCTATACGTTACAATGTTTCATAGCGGTGTGTATTCCCAGTACGACATTGTTGGTTATTTGGAGGGCAAACCGGACGATGCCAAGACCATCATCCTGGACGAGTTCCCCATTACCAGCTTTACGGGTCTGCCGCTGCAGCGTTTTTACAACCTGCGCTGTTTGTCGGCTAACGCGTGCGGATTGACCTCCGTTGTCGGATTGCCACTGATGCCGAACCTGACGTTCCTCCAGCTGAATGACAACCGTCTCGGGTTCGCGGAGAACAACCCCCCAGCTGGCGGCCCTGGCCCGGACCACGCCTAATCTGAAGCGCCTGACGTTGGCCAATAACGGCATCATCACTGTCCAACAGCTGGAACCACTGAAGAACCTGCCAGCCCTGCGGACCGTGGACCTCTACTCCAATACCGTCACCAGAGCCCATCATCGGCAACTGGTTTTGGCGGTACCGCAGGTCGTGCGTTGGGATGGTGACGGCGGGGACTTTGAGAGTGACAGCGACGAAGAAATGAAAGGTTGGTCAATGCAGTTTTATAATGATAGGCCCATGTAACACCCACGGTAACACCCACGGTTAGTTAAATTATGTAATTTTTCAGAGCGCTTCATGTTTATAGAACCGGCAACGGACAGCGAAGAAGAAGACAATGACGACGACGAATCCATGGCCGAATCAGGTAACCAACTTTCAGGAAGTTTTCGAGTTACGCCTTCAAAAAGCCTAATTTTTGTGTCTTCGTAGATCACACTTGGATTTTGCCTGGTGCCGAAACTCCAGACTGGATGCACAGCAGCGATGAAGAAATGCCGGACTCGGGCTCGGAGGCTGAAGACGAAGCAGACGGCAGTGGAGGCGACGACGTAATTCCGGACTCGTGCTCGGAGGCTGAAGACGAAGCAGACAGCAGTGGAGGCGACGACGTAATTCCGGACTCGTGCTCGGAGGCGGAGGACGAAGTGGATGAAGAGGACGGCAGTGACCACGAAGGCGGCGGCCAGGACGACGGCGACAAGAAGGACAGCGACAATGGCAAGGACGACGACGTTGTTTTGGTTGAGTAAATTGTTTTTCTTATTTCGGAATGCGCAGATTATATTTTGCGTTATGCTACACCCGCGGGTTCACCCACGGTTCAGTTTTCTTGTTGTAATGGCTATTCTAGTTACTGTTTCAGTCATGATTGTATTAACTGGTTTTCTGCTTGATAACTAAACTAATTTTGTGCTTTTTCTGTTATTTGTACTGGTACTTTAATTGTTGTACGTACGTATAAACCTGAAAAAAAAGAAAATGCGTTGAAAAGTTCGGTTGCATTTTGTGGCGAGGAAATATCAAACTGGAGTTAAATTTTAGTTGTCTCGGTTTCACCAAAGTGATTTTATGGTGGTACAAGAACTGACCAAAATCAAATTTTAGTCGTCGAATTTCGACTTATTTGCGATACGGTGCTCTTTCGTAAATGGATTACGAATTAACGGAGGAAGATCTTGTTGATGCGGCTGCTCTCGCGGCACTTGAAGATTGGGTAGATCAGCACGAAGCCTTATCGCAGCAAGACCTCCAAGATGCTGCCGAGTTGGCAGAATTGGAGGACTGGGTTCATGAAGATCCCCAAGCTGGGGGTGGCGTCCCTGAAGATTTTAATGTTGTCGATCATGTTACGGTGGAACGGAATGGGTACCGGTTTTCGAAGACGTACAATATGCATTTCAAACGCTTTGACGTGCATGTATTTGATTTGGATGCTGTGAAATTTTGTGACGCACCGGCAGTAATAGTGGGTATCTTGGACCACGTTTTGGATGCTGTGCTAGCGGGTGTGGCCGCTCATCAGTACGTCCGAGTGTCTGTGGAATCATCGTATTTGTCGTTCCCTATTTGGACTCCACCAACTTTACGATCACAGCTGACAGTGCGCCGCTGGATGGCAGAAATCTCAAAAGTGCTGAATTCCCACCAAGAATTTGCCATTGATGATTCATTTGGGGTTTCTGTAGAACATACGGAGATTCCTTCCGGTCGGTGTGCCCGCGACGTACCCAAGTTATTGTACGACAGACTGAAGAGGATGACGTCAGTGATTTTGGTGAACAACGTGGACGATATCTGTATGGCCCGTGCCCTCGTTATCGGAAAAGCGTTTGCCGATGGCCGAAAAGATTACGCCCGACATATAGCGAAAGGAAAACAAGAAATTCTGCGTTTGTCGGGAATTGATTGAAGAAGCCGGCCTTCCAATCCGTGAGTACACCCTTGCAGACATTTCGGCTTTTGAAAAGTATTGCCAGGTTACCAGATAGTGGTAGTGAGTACGATGCAAGCCAGCAGCATTGTGTACAGCGGGAACCTGGAGGACAAACATATCTGCCTTTTATTACATAACCGGCACTTTGATGTCTTGACTTCCATGCCGGCATTTTTCAGTCGCTGTTACTGGTGTTTTAACTGCAATAAAGGATACAACAACCGTAGAAGTCACAGATGTAGCGGTCAGTGTAATCAGTGTCTGCGAGCGGATTGTCCCATGGATATTGTCAACATTATGCTTTGCGCTGATTGCAATCGCAAGTTTCATGGCCAATCTTGCTTCGACCATCACAAGCTGGGCCCGGGAAATGATGTGCTGTTTCGCAGTCGAAGGAGTATCTGCAGTACCGTCAAAATGTGTACTCAATGTGGTTGTGTGTACTCCTTAATGAAGAGAAAGTTGGGATCCGCACACCGTTGTGGAGAAATGTTTTGCAAAACGTGCCAGGAGCATGTCATCGGAGATCACCGCTGTTTTATGAAGCCGCAGAAACTTACTCCTTTCCAGAAGATGCAGTATTCGGATGCCCAATTTTTGTTTTTCGACTTTGAAACTTACGTTGCTGAGGATGGGCGGCTGTATCCAAACCTCGCGGTAAGCATAGTTCCTAGTTTGCAATCATAATTTTATACGACACCCGCGGTAACACCCACGGCATTATGCCGTACACTATTGTGTAACAAGAAGTTCTGCGACACACCCACGGTAACACCCACGGTATGTTATACAGGTTGTTCAGAATGATGAAGGCGAAGAGTGGATATTTCCGAATGACGGCGAACCGCTTTGCGACATTACAGATCCTCTTTGTCGATTCCTCTTTAGTGAAGACCATCGCGATCACATTATAATCGCCCACAATTTCAAGGTAAAATTGTACAGTCTTTTTCTTATGGTCCTTTATTTTGCCGTTTTATAGGCCTTTGACGGTTATTTTATACTGAACTGGCTTCTCAGCAACGGTATTACTCCTAAAGTTATTTTAAACGGCGGTAAGATCATGCAGCTGGATGTTCTCCAACTCAACATTCGATTCCGCGACAGCATCAATTACAATCCTCAAAGTTTGTCCAAATGGCCGGCTACCTTTGGTATCAAGGACACGTCAAAGGGCACCTTTCCGCACCGATTTAATCGACCGGAAAACTGGGACCAGGTTACCGAATTCCCTACCAAGGAGCAGTACGGGTCCAAGTTTATGAACAAGAAAGACCGTGAAACGTTTGAGCAATGGTACAATATGGAGGTCGCCACCAAGAACAACACGTTCGACTTTCGTAAAGAATTTGTGGATTATTGTCGGAACGATGTCACCGTACTCCGCAAGTGCTGTCTCCAATTTCGAAATTTGTTTTTGGGCATCAGTAACGGCATTTGCCCATTCTCGTCCTCGATGACTATCGCTGGATTGTGTGGTTTGTATTGGAGGTCCAACATTTTGAAGGCGAACCAGATTGGACTGATTCCACCGCAAGGATACAACGTGAACCGCAACCAGTCGGTTAAAGCGCTAAAGTGGATGCAGTGGATGGAACTGGAAGAGAACTGCACAATTCAGACGCGAGCAAGTGGGAACGAGTTTAAAGTTGGACCTTATTTTGTGGATGGGTACTCTGCAGCAACAGGCAAGGTTTTGAGTTCCACGGCTGCTGGTACCACGGATGTCCTGAATGCACAACGCCGGATACCGTCCACCCGTTCAGAAACTTACCAATGAGCAAAATTTACGAAGAAACCCTGCAACGCGACACGTACATCCGGGACATGGGACACGAACTGTTTGTCATCTGGGAGCACGAGTTCGACGACCAGGTAAAGCAGGTACCAGATTTCGCGGATTTTGTTGACGAAATCACCGTCACCCAACCGATAAACCCTCGTGATGCATTCTTCGGCGGACGAACAAATGCCACAAAGTTGTATCACAGCGTTAGCAATGAAGAGAAGATCCGGTATTTTGATGTCTGCAGCGAGTATCCGTTTGTCAACAAGAACAAGAAATATCCGATCGGACACCCCATCATTATCGTTAAAGACTTTGGGAAATCGCGCACTACTTTGGCATCGTGCACTGCAAAATCTTACCGCCTCCGGATCTTTACCTGCCGATTCTGCCATACCGCTCCAACGGTAAGCTGGTATTTCCTCTGTGCCACACATGCGCTGCGAAACAACTTAACGCCCCTTGTGCACATTCCGACGAAGAAAGAACGCTTACTGGAACATGGTGTAAGTATGTACCGTTGAAATTCTGAACACCCACGACAACACCCACGGTAACCTTTACAGGCACGCCAGAGCTGCACGCTGCAATCGAGCGCGGTTATGTCATCACAAAGATGTTGGAAGTGTGGCACTTTGAGCAGTCGGAAGAAAGGTTGTTTGCGGACTACATTGATCGGTTCCTCAAGATAAAAACGGAAGCAAGTGGCTGGCCAGCGGATATGACAACCGACGACCAGAAAGATCAATTTCTACGAGATTTTAAAGATCATGAAGGCATTCAGTTGGACCGCGAAAGATTGAGAACAACCCTGGCATGAGGGCGCTTGCCAAGTTGTGTTTGAATAGGTAATATCTGCTGTTGCGCGTTTTGTAAACTGAGGCTAACTGGATTTGTACTTGCAGCTTCTGGGGTCGCCTGGGTATGCAGGACAACAAGCCGAACACCAAGTACCTAACTTGCCCGCAGGAGTTTTACAAAATGCTTCTTTCTGGTGAATTCCACATCCACTCGTGGGATATGTTCAGCGAGGATGTTCTGCAAGTTGCGTACACCAGGGAAAAGTTATTTATTGACCAGAACCCTCATACGAACGTTGTCTTGGCTGCGTAAGTAGTTGCTTCTTGAAGGATCAGTGTTTTTGCTGATAGTGCTTTTTTGATAGGTTTACGACATGCTGGGCCCGGCTCCATTTATACGGCTACATGGAACAAGTCCAAGATACACTGCTTTACTTCGATACCGGTAATTAACTGTTTCAAAACTTGTACCTAGTATGGTGGACTAAGAACCTTACTTTACAGATTCCATCATTTTTGTGGAGAAGCCGGGAGTATTTGTTCCTCCAACCGGCAAGTTTTTGGGGGACCTAACGGACGAATTGCAGCCCGATCAGTATATCACTCAGTTTGTCAGTCTCGGTCCCAAGACGTATTCCTACAAGACTAATGATGGGAAAAGTGTCGCCAAAGTCAAAGGTTTTACGCTGAACGGACACACCAGCGAGAGCATCACGTTCGAGTCAATGGTTGATGTTTTGCATAAGAAAACTGATTTTCTTGTAGCTGAATATCCTGAATCGATTCAGCGTGTCAAAAAATCAATGGTGTTGCGCCAAGTTGATTTGTCTAAACGTTTAAGTCTAACATACGATAAAAGACAATTGTTGGTAATTGTTACAATACTCTACCGTATGGTTACGTGTTGCAGTGATACCTTATAACATTAAAGCATACGGCAAACAGACGCGTGCTCTTCAGTTTATTGGCAGACTTAATACTAAATCAATCATGGCCCATGTCATATCGGCTTCTGTTTTAGCTCCCAAAAATTACAGCGACCACTAGCAAACAAAACCGCAGTACATTCTGGTAACTTTATGCGCAAACCAAGAAATCTGTCGGCACAGTATGGAACATTTAAAAGTTTACTGACACTGTCTAAATCAAACCGCTGGCCGAAATCATGAGTGCCTACAATGTTCACGATTCGATATTCAGTCGCATAACATTCGTAGCCAATATTACGTAGTAGTCGTATGAAATACTCCAAAGAGAACGCGCTTCTTCCAAGTTTTTCCCTCCATTGACCGTCACTTTACCGTTAACGTACAGCTGACAGTGGCCCTTCGGCAGCGTGATCCGCCGCAGTAGCAAACCGGAAAAGGAGCGTGGTGTATATTGTGCCAAGGGCAACCGTTTTCAATCTCGCTGAGGTTTAGGTGACAGTTCAACTTTGCTGTGGCGACAACATTGGTAGTCCGCACCATTCTTATACAACCATAATCCGAAAACAACCGCCTTGCGTTGCGTTGTCTGATCTGATGCAGTTAATTTACGAAATGGCGGGCAATGGTATTCTTCCAAGTTGATCACTTCTGGCAGAAACTGTTCTAGCAGGCGGCACTTTTCAAGCCCTTTCGCATAAAATGTGACGTCAGCTGGTCGCCCGACTTTAGTAAAAATATCTTCAAAGGCCAGTGCTGTTTGATTGTGGCGATAATCCCCGTAGGTATGCCAAACCAGACCGTGGGAGTGACGAGCTTGCCTTTCCAAATCACCCGCGCATTTGGCAGCAGTGCGTGGTAATGTAAATGTGTACTGGCCGACCTCGGCTTTTCCAAACAGAAAAAAGACAACTGCTTGAGGTATTTTTGTTTGTCAATTACAAACCAATCAGCGTCTACAACACACCTTACAGCCATTTTACTATTTTTGGCTGAACCAACTGAACCGTACTCTATAGCGCCGCCTCCCTTTTGTACTGAAACGGTTCCAAAAATAATATTTTGCAAGGGAAAGCTTGGCCCAAGTACACAAAAACGTACGTCTTTGCTCGTACGCCTCAAGTTTACCTTCAACTTGCAAGGCAAAAGTGCTACTGTTTTGTCTTGCATTATGCTTTTCAAATTTTGTATATGAAGGCAGATGTCAGGCAACGCATAAAACCCTCGATCAGTTCAGATATCAGACAATTTTAGTTTGCAACAGTTTTTTTGTTTGACCTTTACTTTATTCGAACGCTGTAGTACTTCTTACTCCATTTGCCATGGAATTTATCCCTGATTTCATTTCCTCGCAGCGCTCGCGTCGCCTAAGCCTTCCACCAGCAACATTGCCCGCGAGATTCCAGCCACGCCTCTCAAAACCCGCACCTTTGCCAAGCGACGCGCACCGGAGATGGACGATATCAAGCTGAACCTTGCCAAGAAGTTCAAGGAGCAAGATGACACCAAGCATCCGCGGCATGCCTTTTCTCATGAAGGATCCAACGTGTACAAGATTGGGTTCGAGAAGTACGTCTACGCCCGCTTCCAAGATGGGGTTTCTGCCATCGTCATCGGGGAGTGGAAAAAGCAAAGCGACGACACCTACCGCCGCACCTTGGAGAAGTCCATCACCGTAAAGAAGCCTGGTTTCTTGCGCCTGTGTGCCTTGATGATGAGTGGTAAAGCGGACCTGGACAAGAATTCTCAGAACTGTGGCACCGACGGTAAGCTGACGCCTCTGTATGCGCTGGAGAGTGGACTGTATTTTGGCTGGGGACGTTACAACCGTGTCAACACGGCCACCGTAAGACGTTACACCTTCGGTCAGAACGGAGACCTGATTCCCACGAAAGCTGGCGTGACCTTTGGACTGAAGACGTACGACGGTCTCAAAGAACTGGTTATGGATATGACGCTGCTGAAAGAACTCCTGGGAGTGGATGAAGCCAACAATGTTCAAAGACCTTGAAATCCGCTCTGGCTTATGACAAGCTCAAAGAGGTGAGCATTCCGTTTATTTGTGTAATTTTATGCTGATCTCTGTTTCTGAAAGACTTGTGCGGTAATCAGTTTGTTTTGATTATAGGAAGTGGCTGAAGAGTTCACTGAACTCATCCACCAAATGCGCGGTCGCAATGGAAAAGTCAGCTGTGGGAGTGCCAGCGATGACGAGTGGGCAGCGGCTGAAAAGGCTATTGTGGAGTCGCGCTATGTGGAGGCTGTTCTGTTGGAAGCTGACCAAGTGGATCTTGGGCAAGTTGTTGGACTGGACGTTAAGGGGTATTTGGAACTTAATGCTCTGGAGTTTCGTGCTATGTTCGCTAAGCTTATTTAAGTAGCGTCAATAACGAGCTGTATTTGTTTTGGATTATTCCGTGTTTCATTTACGAACTGCACATTACAGGCAGCAGTAGAATGGTTTTTTTCATTTTAATTCCGATATTCGTTTACATATTTGACGGATGAATGAACCGTCAATTATCTTTGTATTGATGTCAAAATAAGAATTCACATACTGGCAGACCATCTTGTCGTTGCTTGCTCGATTCTCAGTAAACAAGTGCACAATATTAGTATAAGTTTCGCCACTAACACGACGAAGTATAAAAAACAAGCAGTATTGGCCACAGACTGTAGTGTATTCTGATTGCAGTTGTTCGGCTTGCTCTACGATCCGATTAGATGAACATAAATCAGCAAAATTCTTAGTATATGAACCCAGTTTCCTCCCAAACGAATCAAACACTTCCAAAACTCCATCTTTTTCTTGGTAAACAGCAATCCAGTGCGATCCATCTTGGTCCGCTGGGTCAATGTTAATCACTGCCGCTCCAGGATATGGCAGTAGCGCAGGGGGCACTTTATCGCTGGCAAACACTCCGCGTAGTGCAGCATTTGTAGCCGGGTTTGATTGGAGAGCGCTGAGGATTTGGTCGGTGTTCATGTCGAAAAGTCCGCAATCAGTTGCCGATGCTGATTGATCTCAATGATGCTGTCGTAGACTAACATAGCCACCATCATTACGGTCTTTTCCAGCGGTTTGTCAAAATTAACCGAAACGCTTAAATTGCCCTGCTTCACCAAAGTCAGCGGTCCTCTTCCAGTATGTCCAGGCGTTAAATCGAACCCGAACAGCGTGTATCCGCCGTTGTAAGCGGTTCGATTAATATGGAGAACTGTTGTGCGCATGAGTGCGATATCCCAATGTGTCCAGCAACCCATCATAACATTCCAATGACAGCGAACGTCCAAAATCGGCAGTATAGGGTTTTGTTGGATAGCTTTGACCGTCCACCTCCACGCTGATCTGATTGATATTAAAATGTTGAAAGTTGAAAGGATTACTCTTGAAACTGCCGTGGAAATCATCGCTTTCCAAAAACCCAATGAAAATAACTTTGGGAATCTGTCCGATTTGCAAGTTGCTTACTACAGTGCTTTGAGTTTTCTGGGGAATATCAGAAACACGCATCACTACGCGTTCAATGTGGTATTTCACGGTCTTCTTCAGCATTTCTGACGCTACAGCTGTCATGAAATCTGGTGCTGGAATGTATCGACGGACAGATAGTCGTGCGTTCCGGATAAACGGTTTGAACTGCTTTGTTGCGTCAGCATCCCACACTCGCAAACAGAATTCAGGTCGGCTCATCACCAGTCGGATGTTGATTGGTACGCCGGTACAGAGCGGTTTACTTTGATCGAACAGATCAGCGAACAATTTGCCTGATAGTTGTACGTAGTTGCTTCCGCTGAACAAGGCTTTGCGGCTTTTTTCACCGTTGTTTTCTTTTCGTCGTTCATTTTAGTTGAGGTGTCGGCGTAATATCCTGCTGATGTCAACTGTGATCTCTGGGCATCCACGCCATAGGATAGCAATGATTCCAGGTATGCTCGATAAGGATAAAACGTTGCCGCATCCGAGATGAGACGATTCGCCACGGTGACATGGCACGAAGAGAACAATGAATGCAGAAAGTTGTTAACTGGAGCCACTCCGTCGGTGTTGGTAATTAGATCCCAATCGGCTGCTCCTTCTTAACCTTTATACCGACCTCGAGTTCCAGCATCATATCACCCAGGCTGAGCAGACCAGCGGTACTGGGAGGAATGTAGAAGTTTATGTCACCAGCCGAACCGTTGTCTGTCAGGATCGTTGTTGGATTAAGTTTCTCATGCTCGGTACGCCATCGATCAGTCAAGGTCGCCGGTAAAGCAAACAGCTGGTTGTCCAACTGCATCGCTGGTTCGGAATTTTCCATCATCAGCAGAGCCATGTTCAAAAGTAGTCAGGAATGTTGGCTGGTGGAATACGTTTAATGCGATGGCGACTACGAACTGTGCGACGTTTCTTACGAATACCACTTCCTTCTTGAGGTGCTAAACGCTTAGTAATAGCTTCTTTGGCTTGAGCCGTGACGTCTTTAATGGCCCCGCTAGCCGCTTCTTGCAGGTGCGGCGCTGCCGCTAAAAGCCGCTTTAGCATGGGGTGCTGCTCGACGAATAATTGGTTTGGCAAATGCGGAAATCTTTGCAAACAAATTCTTTAGAATCTGCGGGAACCGGAACCATTCTGCAGCGTGCCGCGGTAACGAATGAGCGCACTTCCTCCGGTTTGGCTGACAAACACTTCTTCGTAGCGTCGCGGATCAGGAACGTACTGAACGAAAGGCATTTTCAGTACAGGCGTTGTGGTCGAAAGTGTAGTTTCACCAGAGACTTTCCGTTTGGAACTTGGCTTCGGCTCCGAGGTCGTTGGCAATAATCAGATTTATGGTTTCAAAATGTTGACGAAGAACAGGAACATAATGAGGAATGTCAAAACGTGCTTCCACGGTCTGATTAACTTCGCCTCTAATAGGTACGGCACGCAAAAACTGCGCCGCTGTGTCACCGATCAAACTGTAGTCGGCCACGTCGCTGTACACAAATAGACTCTGATTGCCTAGCAATGTGTTTACAGGCCGGTCGGAAATGAACGTAGTTACTTTTGGTGCTGGCGCCTTGTCCCAGAATGCTAAGTATTTTGCTCTTGCCTGACCTTGTGCGGTATCAGTTGTTTCAACAGGAACATTAGGTTCAAACTGGCTTTGATCGAAACCCAGAATCTTTTGCAACGTTGAAGATTCGGGCGGAAAGCTATACGGATACTCGGTCATTCCCAATACTCAGCTTGACTTTATGGTTGGTTGGCGTAAAAACTGCACTTCAAACATTTTATTGTTTGGCAGTGCACTCTTGTCGTCAATCACTTTTCCATCAACAGATAGGTCTTAATGACGGGAGCCAGAGAGTTTATGGTTTGAAGAAGCAACTCAGCGTTCTTGTAATTACCCGGAGGTACAACAATGCTTTTCTGGGCACTGACATATCTTGGAGTTTGGATAAACTCCCCGTCTTTCTCAAATAAAATTCTCGCACAACATCCACTTGGATTTTCTGCTCAACTGGCAGAGTGTAAAAGAGTTCAGGTACTGTAACTCCACCAATGCCATCTCCCATTTGCCTTTCAATGTAATAGGATGCTTTGGCTTGGTAGTCCAATTGGACGGGGTGTTGGCGGGATCGGTAGCCACATCGCTGGGTAGAGTTAGGTAGAACGGCGCACCTTCATACATTTTTCATCGATCCACTGATCGTGTTCGGGTCCGTAACCTAACCAACGGACTAACACCTTCTTTCCGCGACGCTTTACAATAAAGTCCACAGTGTGCTCTTTGTCAGGCACGTTGCGCACGAGAGATAATTCTGGTTCGTAAAATTTTCCGTCAATGGTATTGTCCTGATAGTCTTTCAAAACGTAGACCGGTACAGGATGAGGAATGACTTGTTGAATGAAGAAGATCTCCTCCTTAAATCGGTAGGTGTATCCTTTTTCCACTTTTCCTTTTCGAATCGAAATTCGCACGGCATCGTTCACCTTGTACCGAGGTCTTTTCACTGTTAGCGCTGGATATAACTTGTTATAGACAAGCAGAGAATTCTCTTGCTTGACGTCGATGGGTCGCATTCCATGAGCGCTGTGTGGTGAGTGATTATATGAGTGCACCATATCAGATAACTTGTCAATGTAGCGGGTGCTGACGCGGTAGCGAAACAATCGGAACATGCGGGATTTAATTGTACGTATTACTCTTTCCGCCATGGCACACTTTACGTCTTCGTTCTGGGAGGTAAAGAACTGTACGTCGTGGTCTTTCAGAAATGCGCGAACAGTTGTGTTCAGCATTTCCGTGCCCTTGTCGTACTGCAGCTTTTCAGGAAATCCTAGTTGTTCGAAGGCTTTCTGAAGGGCATCACGTGTTTCTTTTCCGGTTTTGGCCTTCAAGGCTTGGATGCTCAGCATTTTGGAAAAGCAATCAATGACAAAGAGCAAGTATTTTATCCCATCGTTCTCTTTGGAATATTTCGACAAGTCTGCCAAATCAGCTTGGTACTGCTGCCGCAGATTGGTAACTATCACTGGATTTCGTGGAAACCGTTTCCGACTTTCTTTGGTGACAGTGTATGCATCGATCTCTTCCAGTATCTCCTGGGCTCTCCGTTTGTTGGTCCTGGTTTTAGTGTTCTTCGGAATCGCTCGACGCCTCCAAAACTTCCGGGATGACGAGGGTCGAGGTATTTTCTCATTAGACGATCCATCGTTGCAGCAATTAGAAACACAGTTAATTTTGAAGAAGCGGCACAACCTAATAACCGACGGCAAAATCCAGACATTATGATAAAGTAATCCAGTTAATTTTGCGTTTCATCCCGTTCCCTGTTTGCTTTCTGCCAGACCGCAACCGTTCAACTGGAATAGGTATTTCCTCAGATTTTTCTTTGGGACGACTAGGGCGCGGCTTCTTTGGTGGCGATGGTGGTACTGGAGGCACGTATTTGGGCGGCTCTGGGGTTTTCATCCGGCACTTCTTTTTGGTTTTAAAGCAAGAAAACGTTCCAGAATACTGGAAAGCTGGCTCGCTTTCTCGTATTCACTTATATCCTTTCGCTGCAAAGTTTGCGCAATTAAATTGTCCAACGAAACAACGGCTTTTGCTTCGGGAGGCTCCCTGTTGACTTGGATCTTTTCGTGAAGTTTTTCTTCCATGACGCGGCGAGGAACAATAAAGTATTCATCCATTACCAATCAATGATGTCAAGACGCCAGCAATAACAGGTAAAATTGCACCCAAGAATCCTCCTTGCTGAAGAATGCGCTTCTTAGCTTTCATGGGATACCGTCGCAATGCAAGCAGCTTTAATGCTTTGCGATGACGTTTGCACTTGTCCAATTCAGTCGGCGATAGGCTGACGGTGTTTTGATTATGTTCACAGCGATTTCTTCTATGGCCT